GCAAATGTCTTCGGGCAGGCCCACATCGAGTGATCCAGACTGTTGCAGCAAATCCTTGAGAAGCAACAAGCGTTTACCCTTCAAAATAAGTCTGCGACGTTCTGACATATCGGCTTTGAGCCCTTGTTCACTGGGGCCCAGTTGCTGTGCCTTGGCAATCATATGCAATCATGGCCCTTAGCGATTCAGATCTGGAGTTCCCTACAAATTCATCAGTATGGGCAGCGCAAAATTGCAAGGCTTCTTTCATGGGCTCAGGCAAGTCGTCTGACTGGTGGCCTGGGTGTTTGGCTTCGAGAGCTGAATGGATGAACTCTTCGGGTGTTCTATAAACCCCCAATGGCTTCTTCTTGGCACTCGCGATATGCCCCACTGCTGGAGTGCTGAGAGCTCGAGCATTTGCTGGCACAGGCGTGTCGGCATTTACTATTATTTCCTTAAATTCGCTTACCCAAGGCAGGCCCTTGGAAACTTGTGTCAAGGTCTGTTGTCGCATGGCGTCCAGTTGGGACGTGTGGGTAGCAAAAGTTGGGGTTGGGCAAGTAACACAAAACGTTTGTATATGCAAAGCTACCAATGCTGCCACTTTGCGGCACAAAGGCCATGGGTAGGCAGTTTCTTCGGCAGTGGCCCATCCAGTGGATGAGTATCCCCATGCTTCATGGACATGTGAGTTGTACCACAGTGCTGCTAAATCGCAAAGCATGGGGATGTTGTGGACAAAGCAAGTGTGTTTTCTTCTGGCAGACCCGTACATGCAGTGATGAAAATAGGTTTTATAGGGGCAACCTCTTCCAAGAATTTTGCCATGTGGGTGGTCTGCCACATGAAGCTACGGGCTGGATTTTCAATTGAAAAGAGCACTCCATGTTCAACACACAGGCGGCACAAAATTTGGGTTTGATCATAGAGAAGGTTTGCTGCAGCTACTTTAGCAGCATGCAAAGGACTGAGATGCGGCAGCCCATTGGGATGATCATCTGTTCTGAGCACGGATGGGTTGTATCTACCACGTCGTTTGATGAATCTGGCTCGGCTGGCTGTCCCACATGGAGGGGCAAAATGCACATATATACATCCAGGCTCATGGATGATATCTTGGAGAAAGGAAAAGTTGTCTGGGATACTGAGATCAAGCTGCACAATCGGTGCCACAAGTCTGTCTGAAACAACATGGCCAATTCCAAATGAGTCACGGAGACCCAATTATCTGACGGCGGCTGTCAAACGGCTTGTGCCTGCAAAAATTTCCACTGCAAAAACTTGGAGAGACGATTTGCCTGAGCACTTGGCTGACAACTTGGCTTCGAAAGTGGCAGGTGAGCAGGCTGTCTCTAATTGAGGGGCTCGCCTTCAAGAGCCCTTGTGGGCCAGCAAACTGTGCGGCTTGCCGCATCCAACTTCTGCACAGACGTGTGCTCCGCGTTGACATTGTCCACCTGGAGGTGCATCAGCGCAACCAGAGGCCATGTTGTAGGGCCAACATATTCGTCTGCCATCGGCCGTCTCCAATGCTTTGCCTACCAAATCTTTTGGCACGTTTGGACCTCTCCCTTTTCGCTTGGATTTTCGTTTCCCTTTGCCCTTGGTCTTGGTTTGCTTGGGCAAAGGTGGCTTCGGTGGGTCTTCTGCTTTGCGTTTGTTGGCATAGTTCGGATTCGCCTTGGGCGATGGCTTGGAAGGTGCTGCTGCAGCCAGTGGCAAAAGATGGAAACTCACTGTTGGCCTCATCAAAGCAATCGGGAGCTCTTTTTCGAGTGGGAGTTCTCCATCTGGGGTGCGCTTCAAACACGTCAAGTTCTCTGCAAGGTGCAGGAACACTGCACGATCAGCCCTGAGCACTTGTGTCACAGACACATTGGAATATCCAGGTGGTGGCTCTTCTTGCATATGCTCCATCAAATCAGCATGGTAGCTGTTCATGACCTCGTAGGAGACAAGTCCGATGAGATCGAATGCAAGGGCTCGCCTTCTGAAGGCCTGAACCAGTTCCAATTCTGTTCGTGTGTTGCGGGTGTGTTCAGAGGGCTTCTCTCTGACAGTCAAGGTGTCACTGTCCAACGCAAGTTGTTTCTGCGGCTTCTTTTGAAGGATCTCCACCCTTCGAGTGATGATTTTTTCTGGATGAAGGTAAGTGACAATGTCCTTCTCGAGGAGAGCGAAGACCAAATCATAACTGCAGTGCGCGACCTCTTCGTCGCCTTTGAATCTAAGACCGGACAATCTTTGCTTCTGGGCTGTCAAACGGCGATCATGTTCTGCTGAAGGCAAGTTGCACGGGCTAGCAGGGTCGTCCTTCTTGTTGACTTCAGCTTTGATGTCAGCAACAACCAATGTATGGCATTGGAAAACAAGGAATTTCGTGGACGTAATCGTCCCCAGATTCACAGCGACCCTGCCATTGTAAAAATCTCTGACATCTTGATCGCTAGCAGCTGTGCCTGGAGGAGAGATGGCGAAGGCCATCGCGCCATCGACAAGACGTTACTGTCAACGATAGCATCTATCTCTTCTGTGCTCAGTCCTGCTTTGGATGCTCTGTCTCTGAGTGCAGCTGTCCAATGTACTAAGGACGAAGCTTCTCGATGCACGTCGGTCATGGCTGGGTGCCAGTGCTATCTTATGAGGAAATTTCACAAGCACATTTCAAATCTTGAATTTGAAAAAGGACTTAGTGCTAAAGGCCTGGGGTTGTTGAGACAGCTGTGAGACAAGTATTCGAGGTCCCAGCCGTATAAAGAACTAAACATCCCCGTCTGTACTCCAACGTGGGGTACAGTCCTAGAAAAAAATTGGTCTAAAATTATGACCCCTAACCTTTGAGAGAGGTTTTAGAGCTTTAAATTCCTGGCTCTTAACCTGAAGCCGAAATCTCACTTCCAACCACCCTTTTGAATTTTCTTTGCTAATTTCCTGGTGCCCAACGTCCAACATCCAATAAATTTACCCCTCTGATATCCAAGTAAAAAAATTATTTCCTGGATGCTTGCGTTGGTAACATGCCATATCTTCACCCCCTCAATCTGATACGGAAAAAAATGAATTCCTGGCACCTGACTTCCCGGCTGACAGCTCGCAGTTTTTCAGAGTCCACGGCTTCACGAGTGCGGTCCGGCAGATGCCCACGGCAATGCGCAACCCTTTTGCATGGACAAATGTATCTTCAGGAAAAAAAACCTGTTTTGCAATTTGGCCACACGTTGGAACAAAATTCTTCAATTTGTCCCATCATTTCCTATCTATGGATGGTTGACCTGGTGATGCGATTTTTTCCTGTCGGGGCCAACCTTTGAAAATCATCCACAAGAATTCGGCCAAAAAAGGTCCAGCCCCTTGGATTTTATTTTTGACACATGCGCCTCGGCCTCTTCAAGTCACCTTTTTTTGGTTGGTGAAGCTGAACATATGTGGTTGTACCCTTTTGCAAGGACAAATGCGTTTTCAGCAAAAAACATATGTTTTGTAATTTGGGCGCGCGTTGACACAAAATTCTTGATTTCGTCCCATCATGTCCTATCTGTGGATGATTGGCCTGGTGATGCGACTTTTTTCCTGTGGGGCCAACCTTTGAAGATCATCCGCAAGTATTCAGTCAAAAAAGGTCCAGCCCCTTGAATTTTATTTTTGACACGTGCGCCTCGGCCTCTTGAAGTCACCTTTTTTGGTTGGTGAAGCTGAACATATGTGGTTGTACCCTTTTGCAAGGACAAATGCATTTTCAGCAAAAAATATATGTTTTGTAATTTGGGCGCGCGTTGACACAAAATTCTTGATTTCGTCCCATCATGTCCTATCTGCGGATGATTGGCCTGGAGATGCGACTTTTTTCTTGTGGGCCAACCTTTGAAGATCATCCGCAAGTATTCAGTCAAAAAAGGTCCAGCCCCTTGGATTTTATTTTTGACATTTGCGCCTCGGCCTCTTCAAGTCACTTTTTTGGTTGGTGAAGCTGAACATATGTGGTTGTACCCTTTTGCAAGGACAAATGCATTTTCAGCAAAAAACATGTGTTTTTCCATTTGGGCGCGCGTTGACACAAAATTCTTGAATCCGTCCCATCATGTCCTATCAGTGGATGATTGGCCTGGTGATGCGACTTTTTTCCTGTGGGGCCAACCTTTGAAGATCATCCGCAAGTATTCAGTCAAAAAAGGTCCAGCCCCTTGGATTTTATTTTTGACCCCTGCGCCTTGGCCTCTTGAAGTCACTTTTTTGGTTGGTGAAGGTGAACATATGTGTTTGTACCCTTTTGCAAAGTCATGTAAAGAATCATACCCCCTCAAGTAATCATGGTACATTTTTTCCTGGGGTTTGACATTTAGATATGTTCTAGTAAACTCCCATTTGATCCATCCACCTTCAAATTCCTGGCTACTAACCTTGGGAATTCTACAAACTTACCCGATATCAGAGTCATTCATGATTGATTTCCTGATGCCTTACATACACAGACTGATAGATCAACCCCCCCTCAATCACAACAGGCAGAAATTGATTTCCTGTCACTGTACGTCAGGAAGCTTTCAGGAAAAAAAATCTGGGCCTTTATTGGTATGATATTTTATTCCTGGCCCTATATCATGCCCCGGGACCCTCACCCACTGTCTGCTAGATTTTTGGAAAATAGTGCTTTTTAAAAAACGTACGGAAACTGAACCCCCAGGAAAAAAAACTGGTAGTACAGAGGAGGATACTAAACATGCAATTTCTGCAAGCGATCAATGCCTACCAATAAAGGCGCTGTAGTTTTTAAACAGGGTTTCTCTGGACATGGATATGTTGAGGTGTTCCCTTGAGTGCAAACACAAGACAGCTCACGGCTTGGCCATATGGCAACTTGGCATCGTGTGTTATGAAAGAACCGCAAGGAGAAACAAATAGGCACTGCCAGATTGGGATGCAGCACTGGCGTGTTGAGAAACAAGCTCCAATTTTTCAGCAGGCTGCAACTAGTTGGACGTGTCCAAGACTCGCAAACATCTCTTGCATTTGCGGTTCTCCTAAAAGGCCGTGCTTTCGATGATGCGATGCTCAGATGTGGCCTTGACACCACACTTGAAAAGCTTCAGTTCACTGTCGGCTTCCACATGAACTATTTTGCTTGTGTCGTGCTGGTACATGGTGTGGGTGCCCCAGGCGGATTGAAGAGCGCACGGGTCGGCGGACCCACGGGACGTCCAGTGCCCTTCGGCCGAACAGCTACTGGAGCTAGATGCGGAGCTTGAGGAAGAAACCCCATTTGCCTCATCTGCTGTGGGGTGGCCTCTGTGTCCATTTTCAGACTCTTTGCAGTCGTGACCCGTTGCTTCTTGTATGTGGCCTGACCGGGTAAGATCAGGTCTGAGTGAGCCTACTCGCACTTGCCTGAGGACATCCTCCAACGCGCGTAAGGGTGCAGAAAGTAAGTCTCTGGAATATATCTCTAGGGACTTCTTGCCTGTGGAGTGATGCCCGAGAATGGTTCTATGGTGTTCATCGCTTCCGGCTTTTGCCATCCACGAAAGAGTCGTGGCTTTGAGACTATGTGAAGACACCTTCTCAAGCTCTGAGGAGCAAAGCTTCAAGAGCTCCCCAAGCCATTTGCTGGCTTCGTCTGGAGTGCTTCTGCCGGTCCAACCTCCATCCTTTCCTGGAGCTGGCAGGAGGGGTCCTTTGGAGTGCTCTGCGAAACCCAATTTGACTGCTTCTGCCACCCTTTCCATGTCATTGCCCATGGTGGACTGCAAACCCCCCATATGGGTGCTACGAGCGGCATGGGCAGCCCGTGCTTTGCCACTTGCGATGCTGTCTTGTGGGGGAAAGTGCTGAAGCCCAAAAATCCTACCAGCTTGCCAATTGAGAGGGCCACGTCAAGGTCAAAGTCTTGCACCCTTTTAAGGTCAGACCATCGGCAACGTGCATAGATCGCAAACAAGAATGCACCCGCTGCGTAGCGATCTGATCTTGGAGATCGACTTTGTCGTTGCCTAGCATTTCCTCCAAATGCATCACGTCTGAGACTTTGAGGGGCCTTGCCTGTTTTCTTTCAGGACGCCTGGTTGCAGCTTTGTCAAGGATGACTTTGGTGAATGCAGACACCAATGGCTTGCCAAGATCTTTGACTGGCAGGCCCAACACAAATGTGGCAAAGTTCACTGCCTCAATGAAACCTGAAATGGTCCCGTAGGCCACGCCATCTTGGTGCTTTTCCCAAATGTAGTCAAAAATGTCGTCTGGACTGAAAGGAATTGGGTGCTTCTTGTAGAAGCATCCTTTGTGCCAAATGCAGTATTGGGCCAAACTGTTTGCCCTTTTTGCCACGGTGTTCGGACTGCGGGCCCCACACAAAATGTTGACCTGTCTCAGATTGAGTTCGATGTCTTTGGTGTCGAACTTTACTCCTTGTGGAGTTCCAGCCGGACAAGAGACCATGATGGCGTAGAGCTTCTCCAGTGCCCTGTTCCATTTGGCATCGTCCAGCTCTCGGTCTGTCAAAGAATTTTTGAAGACAATGGCCCTTTCGAACCGACGTTGAGAGGCCTCTGCAGTTCTCAACCTCTTCGATGCCTGGCCTGCGCCGGCGTCTTGATTTATCGGTCCATGAGATCGTGTGATGCAATCTTCCTGTCTGAAATGCACCAAAGTTTCGCGCACTCAAGCTGCATCAAAAAGTGAACCAAAGGAGTCACAATTGAGGGAGTTCCAATGTGCAAGATGATTTCCTGAATGCAACTCTCTGTCTTGCTGAACCTCGAGAGCAACAAAACATCTCGAGTGTCGATCAAAGTGGCAAGCATGTCAGAGATTGTTGAGTATCCCACCCCAGGACACGGCGGGCTACATCCGGCATCATAAGATCGGGATCTGGCCCCCGAAGATAATCCACGTTGTCCCGTCTGAGTCGTCACAGGATACCTGGGGTGTCAACGCAGGTCTCTTGAGAAACGACATGCAATATTTAATCTGACTGTTGAGGAAACATCTTCTCACTTCACATATGATGATCATGAGCTGGAGCCCAGGACATCGTCTCTTCCTCACCTGGGGAAGTTGGGAGCTGCTCGCTATCTCCGATACAGGGTCGGTACTTTGTGACGGAAGAATCTCAAACTGTGTTCACTCGAACACGTGTACCACTCGGCACCCTGAGGAAAAGACACGTGGACTTGCACCAAGAAGGGGTGTCAGCCTCTGGCTCCTGTTTTCGATAGACATAGATTGAAGGAACCTTCACTGTACTGAAACCACGTGGGTCCTCTTAGAAGTGGGTGCTCGAATGCAAAGGAGGTGGTGCAATCGCAGACCTTGTTTTGTGTCAAGGATATGAGACTATGAAAATTTCTTCAATGAAACCAGTCACATGCGACAAGAAGGTGTGTCAATCGAGACATCGACTTGGATATCGAAGCACGCCTGTCATGTCACCCGCTGGATCTCTACTTACCCAAGGTCTTCATGTCTCAGAATTCGTGATGGCTCAAAAGACAGTTTAAACAATTCAACATCAGGGACCTGGAGTGAACTCAATTCGAACTGTGCACGTCAAAAAATTGGAATCAACATGCACGCGACCAAAAATTTTCCTGTTTACTGAGTTGGTGACTGAAAACGGGTGTATGTCACGACAATGGAGAGCACGAATCTTGCGACACCTGTCACATGCTCGTGTCACCACTGCTGGCTCGGGTCACTTGACCGTGAGTGGAAAAACAATTGACAAGATATCAATGTCAGTTGGACATCAGTTTCGGTCACTCGACCAGAGGTACCAATGTTAGACGAAAATGTGTGTCACTTGACACGTGTCTGAGGCCGGGGCATATGCCCGTCTCGCCGGAGACTTGACCGATGGAGCCAGCTGAAAAATTGAAATCAAACATGCATCAACATTCAACTCGGTGCCATGCACACTTGTGTACCAATGCTGTCAAAATCGTGAAGCACTGCCATCACAACTGAACATGCACCAAGTCTAATCGCACAATCGTGCAAAAAGAAAAATAAGGAGATTCAAAACATGTTCAAAAATTATTTTCTGACTTGAATTGCTGTGGAATCGTCAAACCCCCTGGAAACATGAAACGACATATTTTAGAGAATGCGTATGGCGCTCATGCGCAGTTGGCTGTGCCGATGCACTAGCTCAGAAGCCTGGATCTAAAGATATCTTTGCGATATCAAATCAAAAAGTGGTCGGCGACAAAGATTGGCCAAATCGGCTTTGGAAACTGTGAAGTTGAGCTCAAAACCATCCACGGGAGGAGCTGGATGGACCACCTTTTCCTTCACCTTTTTCATGATCGCTACTGTAGTAGCGCTGCCTCTTTGCTCTGGCAATATCGATTGACCCCATGTCACGTAAGTGACCCCAGCCAAGAGTTCTCATTTGGTTGAGAGCTTCTCTCACTCAGACCAAGCAGTCGGAAGTAGTCCAAGCCAGGTTGCAGCGCGGCATTCAGTCTGGCCTTCATGTCGTGCATGAGATGGGGCGGTAGCTGGTGCGCCGTCATCACTGAGTCGAACCTCATAGCGTCCGGATGGGCAAGTGGGGTTCCATCAAAAACACTTCCCTCCTCAAGAGGGGTTCCAACATCGGTCAGGGTCAATGGAGCATCATCTGTAGAAGCCAAAGCAGCCGACTCAGGAGTTGCTGGTGGACCATCAGCCGGATCATCGGAATGGTCATCGCGGGGATCCAAAAGGTCTTCGACCCACAAGGCCGCCGATTGCACCGCAGAAGGAATGCAGAGCTGGTCACCAATGTTTGCCTTGATCTGCCTCAGAAGTCATGTGCTCACTGTAAGTGTAGTGAGCCTGAGGTTGCAGATGAGCTGGTGGGCGATCTCCATGAGGGATGTGGAAGATGTTCACTTCGACGCTGCCCAAAGGTGCAGTATCAGCAGCGAGCATGGCAAACAAAGCGATGGCACGAAAATCACTGGATCCGTTGAAAAATGCTCACTTGAGAAGGAACTCCCAATCATAAAACATACTTCGCGAATGTGCACTGGAAAGTGTTACTTCACACTTACTGACATGCACAACTCAATCCACGCAACATGTTTCTGACGTGTCTCCAAAATGTCAACACTTGCCATGTTCTCTTCATAAATAAAATTTTATCAAACGAGTTTGAGTTCCGTCATATTAAATTATATTATATTAAATTATATTATATTATATTATATTATATCATATTATCTTATATTATATTTTATTATGTTATATTATATAAAATTATATTATATTATATTATATTATATCATATTATCTTATAAAATATAATATAATATAATATTATATTATATTATATTATATTATTTTTTATATTATATAATATTAAATTAAATTGTATTATGTTATATTATATTAAAAAATATTATATTATATTATATTATAGTTTATTATATTATATTAAATTAGTTTATTTTATATTATATTAAATTATATCATAGTATAGTATAGTATAGTATAGTATATTATGGTATTTTATCGTATAATATATTATTATATATTATAATATAGTATAGTATATTATAGAATATTATAATATATTAAAGTATATATTTTAGTATATATTTTAGTATATTAGAATATATTATGGTATATTATAGTATATTAAAATATATGTTGTTTTTGATATTATATTACAATATATTATATTATACTATATTATATTATATTATATTATATTATACACCCATTATTGTATATATAGTTTCCCTTTCAAATTGTTCACACCCAAACAACTTTTATGGGAACACCTCTTTTTGTAGCAACAAATGGTTTGCCCTTTTTGTAGCAAGGGACATTTCAGCCAGATATGGTGTTTATAGGTGGGATATTTATGATGGGAAGACTTCGTATAAAATTATTTCAGTGGCATATTCCATGATTTCTTACCCCAAATTTCCTCAAAAAACGACATGGGAAAATACGATGGCCAAGCATGTCCGGCCATCGTATTTTCCCATATGGTATATTGGCGGTACAATAAGCCAAAAAACAATTTGATCATCACTGACCTATTGATGGAAAGTAATCCCCATTTAATCAACACTAACCATATTGTACTATATTATACTCCCACTATTGTATAGATAGTCCCCTTTAAAATTGTTCACACCCAAACAACTTTATGAGAGGTTTTGATGGCGCGATTGGATAGCTTAGAAAATAGAGCCGCCTGTTGCTAGAGCGAGGTTTTTTCCCACATTTCGACGTTTGATTCTGCGCGCGGGCCGAGCACTGGCAGAAGAGAGCTATAGGGTTTCCTGTATGACCCAACGCATCCCAAGATAAATCACTACAAAATGCATTTCCGACTTTCAACTGCTAAATGAAACGCCGCTACAACATGCAGCGCACGCCCTTTTACTACAAAAACTGGTGCACGACTCCATTTTTTGGCTTGAATTCTCCACGAATCAGAGGATGGTACCAAGCACGTGTTCACCCTTTTAGTAGTGGAAATGGTAAAGGGATGTAAAGGGGATGTAGTTTTGGCGTTTGCGGGCATAAGGTTCCCAGACCGGTTGTGCACCTTTTTTCTCCTCCAATCATTATTCATGTGAATCATGGCCTTGGGGGTGAGGCGCCAACACTGGTGGTTATGGAGTGGTTTCACCGCAAAAACATTATAAATTTACACGCCATAACAAGCATCAAGGAGCAGTTATTTCAACAGGAAATCGTTGATAACCAGAGGTGACGCACCGGTCAGCCCCCAAGGTCATAGGCGGTACAAAGCGCCAATATTTCGGGTAGAACCAACGGAGATCAATCATGACTCATGACGCTGTTTTTTTTTGACGGACAACATGTTATATAAATCCTCGTTCCACATGTTGCTGCTGGGGATTGGGGAAACAGGAAAAATGATATGAAACGCTTACTTTCAGGAAAGTATGGGACAATCACTTATTTCCTGGACACCTTGCAAAATGGATGCCAACCGCAAAATCGCACAAAATCGACCTTATCCCTGGCCAAAACGTCGCGCATTCCGAACGCGGAGTTCGTTTCCTTGATGAATTCCAGTTCCTCTTGTTCAATATTGATGCCGGCACCGATTTCCCAAAGCGTGTTTTGAGAAACATATTTGGTTATCCTCGTTTGAATAAACCTAGTGTAGTTGGGTCCGTCTCTTTGTAGGTATGGAAAAGTTTCCCAAGCTAGCAGGCTACAAAATGCAGAGTCTCATTCAAAAAGTAAGATTGTCTCTTGCTACAAAATGAATATTCGTTTCTGAGAAAGCCTGAAGAGTTCAAGATTCCAATTGCTACAAGCAAGTTTCACTACACAAGTTCAATTACTACAAAATGACATTGCCACGATCCATCACGGCATAAATGCATGTTTACTACAAACTTGAAATCCAAGATGCAACTTCTCCAAGATGCAACTTCTACAAAGAAGGAATACCAACTACAAATAATACAGCTCCAAAATGCTACAAAATGGTTTTGGTTTTAACATAACTATCAAAAATCAAAAAAAAAACTGTTACCGCAAAATGACAATTGGATATGATCCAAGTGCAGTTTGCTACAAAATGGCACCCGACCCCAATCTAAAAACCTCCAATTGACTAAAAACAACAGGTTGTACTTATCACAAGTCCACCCATTCTGTAGTGGAAATTCGAACGGGGATATTTGGTTATATTTGGTTGTATTGTACTCATATTTTTGGTGAAAGACGCGGGCGTTCTTCGATACAGATCAATTGAACCGTGTTTGTTCACCCCAAAACAAGAAAACACAAGCAAAATCGCGGCAGCCACTTTTACCAAGGGCATTTTTGAACCAAAGGTTTTTTGGCGTTAAGTCAAGATGACGTGTTGACCCGACAGGGGGATGCAAGACTAATTTACATATGAAGGAATGGGTATGGTAAACCTCCATTTCTTTTTTTAAGGCAACCCCTATCATTGAACTGTACAAGGTCGAACACAGGGTTACTACCTACCGAAGATTGGCCAGGTCTAAGGACGGATGCAACCTTATCATGTTTCATGGCTGAGCAAATGTATTCCAGGCAGGGGATGGAGGGATTCGCTTTACAGAATCCATGATGCCCGGCGATTTCGATCCGTGCTCTTAACGGACGCTTCATAACGGATGCATCAAATCCAATTTAATTACGGATACTTGAAATCCAATCGGCAGCAGGCGAGGCGCCGTAGCAGCCAACCACCTTTAGGCGTGGAAAAGGAAATTCCAAAGAAAGGAGGGAGTGAAAAACTGTCTGAAAATATCAGTCGCGTAGAGTATCAAAACTATTTGCCCTGGCGATCGCGCGAAGTGAGTTGATCTACTTTCCCGCTATCAAAAACAAACACAAAACAAAAGCACGAACTGGTGGGGTTTGACCTCGGGGCATTTCTTGCAGCTATGATAAGTACGACACCACTCGTTGCACCCTAGACTTAAATTTCGGAATCTCCCAGTTCTGCAACGGGTGTTGAAGGGTGACTATGTTTTTTTGAGCGCTTTAGACCTGACCACGCTCTAAGAAATTGCGTTTTCGCACTGGAAACCACCGGCATTTTTTAATCACATGAGATTGATGCGAGGACGCTAATTTTGTTCAGTGTCCTCACGGTGGTAAGCAAGGTTGCGGCCATCTTGCTTGCCAACAAGATGGTGGCATCTTGTCCTTTCACTTGCCCAGGTGCTTCTCAAGCAAGCAAGCGCATGAACCTTCCCTGCACTTCCGTGCACGTTTCATGCGGTGAGTTTTCACAAATGCCAATCACAAGAAATCCGTCGATTTCTTTGAATGGAAACCGTCGGCGCGATTAGTGCCGGAACTTGTGAACAAGAAGGAAAGAATGAAAACCATATATCAATCCATATTTTGCCATTGGTTGCGATTTGTTTTTTGATTCTCGTGAAAATGGTTGTTTGCGTTGGCGTTGCAGGAAGTTGGGGTGCTGATGGTGCTGCCGCTGCTGGTGCTGGATCTGCTGGTGCTGCTGGTCTGAGACAGCTTGTCAACGCGAAAGGAATCAAACCTCTGCAAAACAGGACAACGAAGCGCTGGCATAGTATGTTTGAATGTTTTCCGCAGCCTTTTGCATCGACTAACTTTCCCAAAGAATGGCCAATGATACCTTTCACAGCGGGTCGGACGAGGACGAGGTACATCATTCATCATTCGTTGCCGATCATTACACATTTTCTTTCACCACGGAATGCACCCGAAGTCAGTTATAATTCTTTGGATGGTTTCTTTGGAGTTTCTGCGCTTCACAAAGGCCGTACGCTGAAGAATTCTATGCCCCTTTGCCCTGGCAAAAATGCCACAGGAAGGCATGTTTGGAATACTCCGAATCCGGCACCGCTTTTTGCGGTGTTGCATTGACAGGGTGCGCTGCTATAAGTTGAGCATCTCACAGAACTCCATACAGGATCATAGAGGCGGAACATAGCATAACCCACAAAACAGTCAATACTGGCCGCACTATCGGAGTTCAACCTCAGACTAGAATCGGGGAGGCTGAATGCTTCAGGCTGTGACACTCTTTTACAGTGGCAATGGCAATGGCAATCATTGTTCTGCGCCTCGGCCCTAACCTTAACAAAGTACTTACTCCTCTGTCCTTTTGCACTTGCAGTGTTGACCAATCTAAGCATTGAATTGCGGCGCGCGTCAGCCCGAGCATTCAAAGAACTTTACCTCTACACCACGCCGGGCGTTGTGTCCGCAAGGGCATGTGCATGGATTGCGTTTTCCTTTGCCAAAAAAAGTTGTTGCACATCACTCACAACATCTCACAATCATCTTTGGCGCACAAACAAAAGGCGTACAGAAATAGCTCCATTTTCCAGTTGGAAATTCTTCAGTCAGACTTTGTCTGTTCCCACGCCAGCGGGCAAATATGGACAAGACCGAGTAAGTAATGGGCCGCACTGAGATGTCTGCTGCCCGGTTGTTTGCCGAAAACAGAACCATGGAAGAACCGTCAATTCACTTTTCCAAACAGGTGCATGCGATGCGACCACGGATTCACTTGTACCACCCCAGCGTTTCTCTGAGTTTCGCGGCGTTGACACCTCCTCAACTTAATTGGCAACACTGGATTTGCAAACTACGATGGAAAGTTTGGAAGGTTACTGTCTTGCTTATCGTAAATATGCAGTGCCACCTTCATGTTTGGGATGTGTTTTCGTGACTTGTCGCGTATTTGTTTGTCTGTTTGAAATGGTGATAGCAAATGTCGACCCGGGTCTGTAAGTTAAGTTTGCAGGTTCAAATTGATTCGGAGCGGCATGCTGATTCATGTTCATCACATCTGTTTTTCAATCTGATAAGGATCAGATTCCAAACTTCTATCCCAAATTCCATGGCGCTAGACTGCGAAAAGATCGAAAAGGAGTAGGTTCCAGTACGCAATTAAAATTAAATCGTCATGATTCATGATTATTTAAATCTTAATTGTTGCATGTTGCATACAGTTCAACCTTCCCCTGCTAGGTGTGAATTCAAGATTTGATAAGGATTGAAACGCGATTTAAAAACAATCAACTCTTCTTTTCCTATAGATTGCTCATTTGCCAAAATAAAATCGGCTCGCAGTCTCGTTCACAAAAAGAAGCGCAGTCAGAAGTCAAAAGTCACGCATTCCACTAGGTCAGCCATTGAACCCATTGTATCCCGTGCCGCGCATTTCGGGGAATCGGCAGAATACAGTACTCGAATGTACTGGATGAATCTCGATGATATTCCATGACTGTACAGGATGCTACATGGCCATACATGGCCTGCATTGCACGAGTCCGCAATGCAACCTCAGAGTTTTGCCTCGACATGCATTGACTATCTGATGTTTTTGACACCGTCCTGGCTTTGACGCCCGTCCTAATATTTCCTCGAATTCTGCGTTGGAAGCATTCTGGACCATGGTCAAGTTTGATGCGCCTGCAAAGAACTATTCAGTTGTTCATCATCTTTTGGTGGACCTATTTCTGCGCAAGTAAGAGTCCTCTTCTTGTTTGCCAAAGATGTCTTGTGAATGGGAATTCAAATCAGGGCAGAAACACTCATTTGTCGGGCAATGCGATGGAGATCAGCATTCTTGCATGGCCCGCGGAGAAGCCGTAAATTGATATAAATTGTAGATCGTAGATGATTTGTTCATGGAGGTGACCAGGGTCTTAGTTTTGAGGGAAGTCGGCCCGTGTCGTTGTCTATGGACATCTGTATGTCACAGGACCTTCGCGCGACAGCCCTTGATCTGCCAGTTCGTTTTTCCTCATTGGCCATGCCATCGCTCATTAACCACAGCGCAGAGTGGGCAGACGGAAATACAAAACGATCAACCTGGTTTGTATTCGCAGTGTTTCCTTTGAACGATCAACCCTCCGACCCCTCTGACAGCTGCTATGGTGAAACAAGTCGCACTGCCTGGACGATGAATGCATTCGCACAACCGGCACAACCCCTCAAGCAACTCTAGCTGCACCAACATCACGCAAACAACAAATCGGTCAAAGAAAACTTCCATCACCCCTGCGGCAGGCTTCGACTTCCTGTGTCACTGCTCAGCACTTCCTCCAGCTGTTGGAAAAAGTTTCCCTGAAGTGGAGAAATCATCCCAAAATATCCTTAGATCATCTATGATCATCTGATATTCATGATAAACCAAAAGCCGATTCCAAACCACTGATATCATATCACCATATATCACCCATCGTAACATCTCCAATTTTGCTTCTCCTGCCTGGAGCAGAGGGAAGCTGTTGCCGGTGATGAATATGCACAGCAAGTCGAAGCATTCTTAAATTGGGTCCATCCGACCATCCCATTTGGGACAATGCTCTCACTAGCCAAGCCTTTTGCGGTTGCAAATCACAAGCACGTGCCAACAGAGAAATGTTGAGAAATCGAAAGAAATGCGACGTCGAACTGGCCCAAGAATAGATGCTTCAACTGGGCCAATCCGTTTCCATGTGCAAAAATTCTAGTAGAAAAGCCATGACGCTGAAGTCACGCCATCCGACCCCTACCAGAAACAAATCATTACAAATCATAAGAAAACATTCGTATTCATTTGTGTTGCCAACCACCTCCAACCTCCAGAACCATCTCGCTCTCTGACTAATTACGAGAGTTCTTGAAGATGACAAATGTCAGTTTACCCACTGGCAAGGACTTCGTTTGGTGCATCGTTTCATCCAATTGGTTCAGAGAATCATAGTTAGAATATGTTAGAAAATTATCAAATTTCATGTTAAAAACACCCAAATCATCAAATCCCATCGGGATTTGAACCGCCTCCCCGGAGCTACGTGAGCGGCCATGAGCCTTGTGCGGCTTGGGCCGGGTCTCCGGTAGATTTGAATCTGATACTACAACCAATACTTGAGGATCATAGAATCAAATTTAATCAGATATGATCAGCTAAACCATGATAAACCTCAGAAGAGTTGATAAGAGCTGTCATGACATGTCTACATCATAGTTCATCATCGCACTGTATTTCGAGGAAATGTAGCTTTGAGTCGAGGGGACCAATCGTGACAAACCCAGGCGGTTGGTCAAGTCACACCATGTCCAAGGTGTCTGCTCGCTCCTTCCCATGGTTGTTTGACACAGAAATATTGCTGCATCCTGCGGCCCGACAATGCAACTCAGCCGCTCAGCCTGAACCATAGTTTTCAGTTCTTTTTCTAGAGCCTGGTGGAGACTCGAGACGAGGGGCAACATCCACTGACGATCAGACCAATTTTGGTGATTTTGGTGTTTCTCTGGGCAACGATTCCTGATGATGTTTCCCAACAAAAAGAACCATTGGACATCTTGAAACAAAGTTCAAGCCTGCAATTAAAAAGTGTCCAACCCGTGGAGATCAACTACATACAGTATTCCCTTCTGAAAGCATCACAGCCTTCAAGGCCTGTGCAACTGCGATCTAGCACCGTATGCCCCTAGTTCTACAAGTCGGGGGTTGGCGCTATCCTGGGGAAAAAAAAACATGTAAAATCCTGATTTTGAACAACGCCAGTATTGCAATGTGGTAGATGAAGTTGGAATCTCTTGGATCTGGAATGTCCTGCCCAATTCTCGGAGTCTGTTTTGGTGCATATGATCCAGCAATTGCCATCAAAAATGATGCCAGAAGCCCAGCATCCCAGCGGCACCAGCGGCACCTCTACCTTTGAGTGGCTCTGTCGCAGCTCCTCCCCACAGCGTCTCATCTCCACCTGTGAGGTCACGTTCAGGCTATGCGGAGCGGGTTTGGAAGTAGAAGCATGGCAGAACACCACTCCATCTATCAGAAGCTGTCATAAAATCACTTCGTCATAATGTGTCCCTTGTACTTGTTTGTAATTGAGCGGCATTGGCTGAGAACCGTTGGGAAGTCTCCCCAGTGCACAAAATTATGGAACTCTTGCAAAGCAGACAACAACCTGTCTGCAAGATGTTAGCCAAATCCTGCCTCCAAAATGTGCTTTTGTAGCATGGCTGTTTCTTCTTGTCGTTTCGCTTGCTCCCGGTCAGACGAGACTTGAGAACGCCTTCAAAACATTCACTAGGTCCAATAGCTCAATCGGATTCAAAAGGATTGCAGCAGACCAACTGGAATCAATTGAATTTGCATATATATGTATATATACATATTACATTCATTTGTAATATGGATATGTAATATTATTTGATGACATTGGGTAGACATTGGGTACACATTGGGTACACATTGGGTACAGCATGGTGCAACACAATGGGTGGGATGTACAGCGGCAACTCTTCCCTCGCCTTCAACTCCTCGCGTCTCAGCAGTTCCTGGACGACATCAATTTTCACTGGGATCACTGGGTTGACCTTGGTGAAGAATATCACGGAAGCCGGTCATACAGTACAGGGCCAGTAATTCACCACCTGTTTTGGGGGATACATGTGACACCACCTGAGGAAAAATTGCCTTTTGCTTTGCTTGTGCTGGGCCTCGCATAAGTGAAGTATGATCTCCCCAGAAGGTGTCTAATCCCTCAGGTCTGAAACAAACTTACATGCTAAAAATGGACGTTGCGACCTTCTGCCACAAAGGTGGTAATTATGGCTTTTGCTTTGGACTTACATCCCTACAAAACCCTTGTCAAATTTCATCACTCTGGTGAGCAGGTGCAGCAGTGTTTTCCCGCGCTGCCGCAAGCATTGTCGTTTCCAATGCCACAAAGGCTGTCAAGACACCTGACACTGGCTAATTATTGGGGCAGTCACCCTGCAGGGGGCTGCTTTCATGGAGGAAAAGGATTGGCATTGGGGCTGTGTCAACACCTATATCGGACACGTACAAAGAGCAGGTGCTAGCAACGCAATTGCCTGGTTCGACGCAATTCGTTTGACCCCCAACAAATGGATGGTTCAAGCAGGGCTGCGTTCTAAAAGAATCTATGGGGACCTGCTCAATGAACTGGTTCTAACGTCGCACTGATGATGTAGCAAATCTTGCCTCTGCACTCTTCTTGCTACACGTCCAGTGGCTTGTGTCATATTTTACCATTATTTCTGTAGCATCAGACCGGCCCTGCCTTACTCACAAGCTTCTGTCGAAGATTCTCGGGTCCTGGACAGAGCTGATGGCTGTGCTTCACTTTGCAGGTGGTCAGTGCCAGCCCGTCACAGAAACAACTGAGGCATATCTGCGCAACTCCATTGAGACTGGAGCTGCCAATTTCCAAGTTGATGGTCAATTTCCCATCCAAATTCCCATCCAAACGCATTTCCACTCAGTGTCAACCTTTCCGGCCTCCATCTCAGAGTGAACAAAACAAAGGAAATGGCACCTGGGCATCGGCTGACATGGAGAGAGATTCGATGTCCTTTGACTGAAATTCACCAAATCCCGGCATCCCCGCCTCAGGGATTCTCAGATCCAAGAAAAGATTTCAGAAAAGATTTCAGAAAAGATCCAAGACTTTACTTTTACCCGTTTTAACATGCCCAAAACATGAGGATGCCCAGCTCAGGATTGTACCCTCTGGTAATTTAACATAGCTATTGAAAATGGTCATTTATAGTGGATTTTCCCATTAAAAATGGTGGTTTTCCATAGCTATGTTAGTTTACCAGAGGGTACCCAATAGCACAGAAGCGATCTGGAAGATTTGGAGATGTGTGGAGCCCAACAAGCCGCGCCTCAGAGGCATTACATGTGGATGGCATCACGTGGCCAATTTGAATTGATTTTCGTGATGAATATTGATGAATCAACGGTTCTCTTAATCTCCAATGGCCAATGGATCGGGTAGTATAAGCCCCTATCAGAACCTATCAACTATCAACAGTGGTTCTTCTAGTGACTCCCATGACTTGAATGGGCACACACAGGCACACACATCCCAATGCACCGAGCTACTCAGCATCTGCATCTGTCAGGACTTTGCTCTGCAGTGGCAAATGTTTTTCCACGTTTTCACGGCCAACATAGGAGCCTGGACCAGACCAGGAAGTTGGCAAACACGCAATTGCTGCAGTTAACGCCACACAAACGCCACACCTGTCCCCTGAGACTACGTTTGAGGTGGGCAACCCTGAGTGGCGGGCAACCTGAGTTTTCAATGACATCATCTCAAATGGCCAGTCTATTCCTGTCCATGTTGCTAGGCCTGAAACCAATCTCAATATGGATCTGATTTTTTCCTTCATCAAACTTCCCAGCCCCTCCACCCACTCCATTCGCTGAGTGGCTCAGCAGGAAACCATAGACTCGGTCCAAGTCGAAAGCCGAATCCAAGTTCTCCTTCCCCGTCAGATGTAACTCCAGTTGGGGGCTACAATCATTTATGAACCACGCGAGTGGATCTGTAGAACAACATACCTGTACAAATGTTGCGTTGACATATATATATATATATATGCTATTGTATTGTATGTATATATATACACAGAGAGAGAGAGAGTGTGTGTGTGTGTGTGTGTATGTGGGTTGATTATATATACATTACAAATCCATACATTCTAGCTGATCAAAGGAAGTTTAGTTAGAAAATTTCCGAGCTGCAGACGATTGTCATGAGAAGCATTCTCACCATCATGTCAACCACGTTATCATCAAATAGTTGGGATGTGTAACAGGCCGGGAACACAAGAGTTCAGGCTTGAAAAAATTATCGGACGCGAAACCCTGTGTTTTTTCGGGTAAAGTGGCTTCCGTGGTCGCCGAATTAGGGTCTCTGTTTCCACGGTTTCGGGCCTCGATCTGCAAAAATTGTCGACAAAACGTGCACAGGATTGTAGCGAGGGCTCGATTTCACAAAAAAAAAACTAAAAACTGAGGCGTTCGGGCCTCTTTTGGAGGAAAAATGTGCACGAGACTGTAGCCAGAGCTCGATTGCACATAAAAATCGTAAAAACTGACGTGTTCGGAGTGTACGGCACTGTGGTGGGAAGCACATTTCAACTTCAAAACGGTAAAAACACAGCGAGTTCAGACACTTTTGGACGTTGAGATGTGTAAAGCAGGTAGACAGACAGAGAGACAGACAGATAGATAGGTAGGTAGGTAGATAGATGGATAGATCGATGGATAGATAGATAGATTGATTGATTGATAGAAAGATAGATAGATAGACAGATAAAGAGATAGATAGATCGAAAGATAGACAGGTGGATGGATAGATAAATAGATAAATAGGTAAGTAGACAAATACAGTATGGCTTAGGAAACGAACCGTGAACCGGGAACCGAACCGTTCAGGAACCGGCAAGCTAAGAACCGGCATGAACCGAACCGCCAAGTATTCTTATGCAAACCGAATGGAACCGAACCGGTTCCCAGCATGGCTTAGGAAACGAACCGTGAACCGAACCGTTCAGGAACCGGCAGGCGGCTAAGAACCGGCACGAACCGAACCGCCAAGTATTCTTACGCAAACCGAATGGAACCGAACCGGTTCCACATTCTCAAAATTAATTTTGTCAGCTTCCGGGGGGTCCGAAAATGATTTTCGCGACTTGAAAATCAAATTGGAAAGAGGAATCAACTGTAATGAGTGGATTCCTGCGCAACATAATCTGCCAAAGTGCAGCAGGAATTGCAAATGATCAGTGCTGGCTGCTACTACTGCTACTCCTGCTACTACTGCTACTACTGCTACTACCACCAGTACTACTCCTACTACGACTACTACTAGTACTGCTACTACTACTACTACTACTACCACGACGACTACTACTACTACTACTACTACTACTACTACTACTTACTACTACTACTACTACTCGGAACTGATTTTCGCACAATGAAAATGATGTTTGGCTAATGTTTGAGATTTGCAGGCACTGCCTCAATTTCGATACCTGAAAACGACTTTCGCCATATGAAAATGGCATTTGGCTGCTGATTGAACCTCTGCCGGCCACGGTTGGATTTCGACAGCTAAAAGTGATTTTCGCGCAATGAAAATGCCGTTGGCAATGGATCTGCCAATTTCACTGTACACTGGTTAGATGTAAGAATTCTAATAGTTGATGATGATAATCATTATCCCCAATCCAAGAAACAGCATAAGCACTTTAGTCATCAACAAACCGTGGTTTTGGACACTGCTTACTTAGATGCTGCAAACACTCGGCCCCACCACCAGTTTCAAACATTCAAAAACAAAATCCCTCTGCTGCAACATAACATTACTATTTGATATTCATCCACACCCATTCTGTCAAAGACCTCTCGTCCTGCAACACTACACAACACGAACCGAACCGAACCGAACCGCCATGTCACACGAACCGAAACGAACCGGCACACGGATGAACCGAACCGCCCGTGTTTGAGGTTTCCACGAACCGAAACTAACCTAAACGAACCGAAGCCTTCCTGCAAATAGATAAATAGATAGATAGATAAGTATCTATCTAAACAGATAGATAGACAGATAGATAAACAGAAAGATAGAAAGATAGACAGATAGAAAGATAGAAAGATACATAGACAGATTGGTTGGCAGAAAGGTAGATAGTCAGATAGATAGACAGGTAGACATATATAACCAAAGATAGAATAGACAGATAGATAGGGAGAAAGATAGATAGACAGGTAGAAAGATAGACAGATACCCAAATAACAGATAGACAGACGAAGCCCGACAGACAGATAGACAAATAGATAGACAGACGGATAGATAGATAGATAGATAGATAGATAGATAGATAGATGGATAGATAGATAGATAGACAGACAGACAGACAGATAGATAGATAGATTAGATAAATAGATAGATAGATAGATAGACAGATAGCTAGATAGCTAGATAGCCAGATAGCTAGATAGCTAGATAGCTAGATAGCTAGATAGCTAGATAGATAGACAGATATATAGATAGATAGAAAGACAGGCAGGCAGGGATAGAAAGAAAGATAGACAGGTAGATAGATGGACAGATAGACAGATAGACAAACTGAGAGATAGAGATAGAGAGTTAAATAGATGGATATGTATAGGTTGATAGATGGATAGTTAGAGAGACACAGAGAGACACAGAGAGAAGAGTTACAGGGAGTCACAGAGAGTCACAGACAGACAGCCAGGCAGGCAGGGAGTGGGATCGTTCTGCCTTCCATGCGTCACAACAACTCACCTCTCCTATTAGGTTTCCTATCTTTGAAACTTCCGCCACCACCTTGTGCGGTACTACTAATACATCATATTATCATATTACCATATTATCATATTATCATATTATCATATTACATCTATATCATATGATTCTATATGCATCTATATTATTTGTACACAGCTTTGGCATCATTGAACTACAGTCGGCAGGACAAAAGCTGCCTGACACAATCAGTTGGCGCCTCATCGAGGACCTCTCCGTTTACAACGCTTGGAGTCCAGCAACCTGGAAACAGTGGAGCTCCCAAATATCGCACTGGGCAGCCCATCAAAATACAGATCCGAAAAAAGATTTGTCGAGTGCAGAGGTTGACTTCAACATCGTTAATTAACTTTTTAACCATTCTAGGTTCTAAGTGTTTGTTCCCGGCTTGATGGTAGCCCGAAAAATACGCAAAGACCTTCAACTGTGATTTGATGTTGAGCATCTCAAAGAAGCTGCGAACCTCTTCAAGAATCTTGCGACATATTTCTTTGGTACAAACTTACCTGCCACAGTGGCCCCTTCCCTTCACCCACTTGAGAGCAGGCGGAGGCGGACGAAAGGTAGTGAGGTAAAAATATATGAAAGTGAGTTGGTTTCTGCTTGATGAAAGTGAGTTGTTGTCTTTTGACCATCAGTTCCGTCACAGAATCTGCAATTTTGGGTGCCTCACCTCGCCAGCGCTTTTTTCTAGCTGAAACCAGAAAATGGCAACTAGTGACGCTGCTGATGCCAAACACGAAAAACTTGTGCTCCCAGAATAGTTTTGGGTGCTAAAGCCTTTGCTGATGAAATTCATTCGCTGTGTAGCAAGGCATGATGTAGAGAAGACCAAGCAGCATAGCATCATGAAGACAAGACCAAACAGCGTAACACGATCTGATGTAACAACATTAAGCAGCATAACATCAGTTGGGGAAGGTCAAGCAGTGTAGTTTGACGTAGGGAATCATGCAGCGTAGCATCGTGAGGGCAAGACCGAATAGCACAGTATGATACAGAGCACATTAAGCACCATCACATGAGGTAGGGAAGCCCAAGAAGCCTAACAAGAGGTAGAGAAGGTCAAGCAGCGTAGCAGCATGAAGACCAGACAAAAAACTCAACAATATATATATAGAGAACACAAGCAACATAACAAAGGAAGGTCAAGAACGTAGCATGAGGTATAAAAGATCAAGCAGCGTGCCGTCTTGATGGCAAGGTCAAACAGCATAACATGGTACAGGGAACACCAAGAAACATAACATGCGGTAGGGAAGGTTCAGCAGCGTAGCATGAGGTAGAGACAATCAAGCAGCGTGGCATTATGAAGACCAGATCGAGTAGCATAACATGATTCAGAGAAGATCAAGCAGCTCAACATGACGCAGGGATAGGCAGGGGAGATCAAGCGGCAGCATGAGGCGGAGAAGATCAAGCAGCCTAGCGCCATGCAGACCAGATCAAAAAGCACAACCTGATGTAGGGGACATCAGGCAGCGCAACATGAGGTAGTCAAGGTCGAGCAGTGTAGCATCGCCAAGGCAAGATCAAACGATCAAAGTTCTGATGTCGAAACCACCAAGCAACAGGAGGTAGGGCGGGTGGTGAAGCAGCGTAGCATGAGGAGGATAAGATCAAACAATGCAGCAGCGTGCAGCGTGAAACAAAAACAAAAAGCATAACACGATTTAGGGGACATCAAGCAGCCTGACATGAGGTGGGAAGGCCCAGCAGCGTAACAGGAGATAGAGAAGACCAAGCAGCCTAGCATCATGAAGAACAGATCAAATTTCATAACCTGATGTACAGGACATCAAGCAGTTTGACATGAGGTAGGGAGGGTGAAGCAGCGCAGCATGAAGTAGATAAGATCAAGCAGCATGGCATCATAAAGACAAGATCCGGTAGCCTAACATGATACAGAGAAGACCAAGCAGCAAAACATGGCTTTGTTAAAGGCAAGCAGTGTGGCTTGATGTAGAGAAGATCAAGCAGCGTAAAAAACACGAAGACAAGATCAAAAAGAATAACGTGGCGAAGAAGACATCAAGCATCATGAGGCAGGGAAGGTCAAGCAGCGTAGCATGAGGCAGAGAAGATCAAGCAACGTATCATCATAAAGACAAGACCAAAGAGCATATGGCAACTTCGAACATCAAGAAAATCAAGAAGCACAACATCAGTAGCGAAGGCCAAGAAACGCAATATGAGAAAGATAATATCAAGCAGATCGGCTTGATAAAGAATTTCTCGAACGCCTCCAGCGCCTCCAGCACCTCCAGCGCCTCCAGCACCCTCAGCGCCCCAGCGCCCTCAGCGCCTTCAGCGCCTCCAACGCCTTCAGCGCCCTCAGCGCCCTCAGCGCCTTCAGCGCCCCCAGCGCCCTCAGCGCCCTCAGCGCCTTCAGCCCCTTCAGCGCCTCCAACGCCTCCAGCGCCTTCAGCGCCCTCAGCGCCCTCAACGCCCTCAGCGCCTTCAGCGCCCTCAGCGCCCTCAGCGCCTTCAGCGCCTTTAGCGCCTCCAGCGCCCTCAGCGCCTTCAGCGCCCTCAGCGCCTCCAGCGCCTTCAGCGCCTCCAGCGCCCTCAGCGCCTTCAGCGCCCTCAGCGCCCTCAGCGCCCTCAGCACCTTCCAGCGCTCCTACTTATCATCGACTCTTATGTAAACGCTTACTGGTAGCTGCTAACTGCCAAATAGCCTCGAACTGTCCATCGTACGGGGGGGAAAAAATGTAAAAAAAGTTGATTCAGTGAAGTTTTCTAAACTAATATCATAGCAGTATAACAAATCATTTTTTTCATAAAAAAAAATAACAGTCCAAAAAGCCAGTTTATATATTGTTAATTGCTTCATTTTTCTCAACAATATCAAAACACAATTAAATTACCTCATTCAATTTTTAAAAATCATAGCAGTCAAAGCATACTTACCTCATTCAATTTTTCAAAATCATAGCAGTCAAAGATCTTTGATTTATGAAGAAGTAGAAGAAGATAAGTTAAACTTGATATTGAAGTCCAAATAGCAGCAAAACTCCCAGATAAAGAATATGGAGACAATGAATTTAGTTATAGAGAAATTTACTTCATGCATGACTTTGATGAATATGTAGATGAAGATAATATAGAAGATGTATTGAATAAAGCAGATGAAGAAATAAATACCGACATAGAAGACGACCAAGATAAAGATAGTATAACAGGAATACAAGCATTTCATTTTGAATTGATAATTATTGAAGATATTTACTACTAATATATTTCTAATAATAATTATTTATTAGAATTATGAATTTGTAAGATAGGGTTATTAAAGGGTAGGGAATAATGTTTATTGTTGTCTAGTGTTTTTTTTTATGTTGTTCTTCGCTTGGTTTGTTTTTGTTTTTGGTTGTTATAGGAATTCTTGGAAAAGACATTTAAGAAGATAATCATATTTATATGTAATGGATCAATTTTGTAGATACTGTGTTAAAGATTTACCAATTGATAATTTTGAAGATGGATTGAAGACTTGTAAGGCATGCTTGGAATACAAGAGAAAGAACTATGACAAACATAAAGATAAAGTGAATGAAACACGAAGAACCAAATATAAAGAAGATGAAGAATATAGAAAAAAGAAACAGGAACAAATACAAAACTATCGTGATAAAGTTGCCTTTTGTAATGTATGTAATTCATCAATGAAGGCACAATGTCATTCAAGACATTTAAAAGCAGAGAAGCATAAAAGGAATTTAGGAACGGTTGATGGATAGGATTTTGTAAAATGAATAAGGTAATAATTTAGCTAAACTCAAAACCTCGCTGCCGTGGATCTGTTAAAAACCGCACAAGGGGTTAGCGGGGGGGCGAACGTAGGGGCGAACATGCGGGCGAACGTCGCCCGCACGAGCGAGCGGGGGGGCGAGCGGGGGTGACCAGTCACTTGCGGCAGTAAGATTCAATCACTTGCGGCAGTAAGATAAAAATCACTTGCGGCAGTAAGTTTCAGTCACTTGCGGCAGTAAGACTCTTCGAAACCAATCACTTGCGGCAGTAAGAATATGGAAAACCAATCACTTAGTGAATAGGGAAACACAACCGCTACTCCACTTCCTGAGACTTACCATCCCACTTCAACCTTGGGGGATGGGGTGGGGCTAGGGAAGAAAAGGGTAGGATCTACCAGCCACAACTGGCTTACATTCATTATAGGGAACCGCTACTCCACTTCCTGAGACTTACCATCCCACTTCAACCTTGGGGGTGGGGTGGGGCTAGGGAAGAAAAGGGTAGGATCTACCAGCCACAACCGTTGCTTACATTCATTATAGGGAACCGCTTCTCCACTTCCTGAGACTTACCATCCCACTTCAACCTTGGGGGTGGGGTGGGGCTAGGGAAGAAAAGGGTAGGATCTACCAGCCACAACCGTTGCTTACATTCATTATAGGGAACCGCTACTCCACTTCCTGAGACTTACCATCCCACTTCAACCTTGGGGGTGGGGTGAGGCTAGGGAAGAAAAGGGCAGGATCTACCAGCCACAACCGTTGCTTACATTCATTATAGGGAACCGCTTCTCCACTTCCTGAGACTTACCATCCCACTTCAACCTTGGGGGGTGGGGTGGGGCTAGGGAAGAAAAGGGTAGGATCTACCAGCCACAACCGTTGCTTACATTCATTATAGGGAACCGCTACTCCACTTCCTGAGACTTACCATCCCACTTCAACCTTGGGGGTGGGGTGAGGCTAGGGAAGAAAAGGGCAGGATCTACCAGCCACAACCGTTGCTTACATTCATTATAGGGAACCGCTTCTCCACTTCCTGAGACTTACCATCCCACTTCAACCTTGGGGGGTGGGGTGGGGCTAGGGAAGAAAAGGGTAGGATCTACCAGCCACAACTGTTGCTTACATTCATTATAGGGAACCGCTACTCCACTTCCTGAGACTTACCATCCCACTTCAACCTTGGGGGTGGGGTGGGGCTAGGGAAGAAAAGGGTAGGATCTACCAGCCACAACCGTTGCTTACATTCATTATAGGGAACCGCTTCTCCACTTCCTGAGACTTACCATCCCACTTCAACCTTGGGGAATGGGGTCGGGCTAGGGAAGAAAAGGGTAGGATCTACCATCCACAACCGTTGCTTACATTCATTATAGGGAACCGCTTCTCCACTTCCTGAGACTTTCCATCCCACTTCAACCTTGGGGGTGGGGTGGGGCTAGGAAAGAAAGGGTAGGATCTACCAGCCACAACCGTTGCTTACATTCATTATAGGGAACCGCTACTCCACTTCCTGAGACTTACCATCCCACTTCAACCTTGGGGGTGAGGTGGGGCTAGGGAAGAAAAGGGTAGGGTCTACCAGCCACAACCGTTGCTTACATTCAGTATAGGGAACCGCTTCTCCACTTCCTGAGACTTCCCATCCCACTTCAACCTTGGGGGGTGGGGTGGGGCTAGGGAAGAAAAGGGTAGGATCTACCAGCCACAACGATGCTATTCAAGCCACTTAATAGCTGGACCCACGCCCCCAAGATTTGAAAATACCAACGATGAATCCCGAAGAGCCCACTAATATCCCATTCGTATTACTCACACTGGGGATGTTAGGGCCACCTGGTTATGGGAACATAAATTTTCACAATGAGTAGATATTAATCGTAACATAAACTATGGTTCTTTTTAGGAACACTCACATGGGACCTGCCTTAGTGTAAACTGTTTCATATTAACCATCTAAAATCGTGCTTGTCTGCCGTTCCCCAAAACATCAAATCGCTTAGTGAACCCTTATTAAAGAACATTTTTCCAGACATTTCAAAAACACTGGGCCATGAGATGATCCAATTCACTTTAGTAGGTTTGTTCTCAGGGTTCACAATTGCAGCAACATTTTCCAGAGCTGATCCTAGAGCCGAGAGAAGAAAGGTAAGCCTTTTCCAAAAGCAACTGCCAAGTGCAAATCCCAAGTCCCAGCCGCTTACTGCCACAAGCGATTGGTTTTGTATACCCTGGCATCAATGACACTCACTTACCGCCACAAGCGATAGATTTTTTACCGCCACAAGCGATTGAAAACGGAAAAGCGATCTTACCGCCACCTGCCACGCAAAAACAGCAATCACCTGCGGCAGTAAAAAAAAATCACTTGCGGCAGTAAAAATTAAAGGTTTTTACTGCCACAAGCGATTGGCACATCTTACCGCCACAAGCGAACCATCAGCCGCGAGCGGGGGGCGAGCGGACGGGCGAACGAGGGGTGTGGGCGAACGAGGGATCGAACGTGGAGGTAAGGGTGGAGGGCGCATGAAGGGGTCGCGCGAAGGGGTCGCACATACGCATGTACGCACGTACGTACGCATGCACGCACGCACGTTCATGTGCATGTACGCACGCACGTTCACATGCATGTTCAGAAATAAGGTTACCTTTAAGGTTACCTTTTATATAAAAGGTAACCTTATTTCTGTACGACCCTAAGCCTCCGAAAGCATATTTAGTATTAGGAGGTCACTTTTCAAAGGTAACCTTATTTCTGAACATGGGTCTGAACATGGGCTTGAACATGGGTCTGAACATGGTACGTACGTACGTGCATACGTGCGAACGCACGTGCGTACGTATGTGCGTACGATCCCCTACTAGATTAAGTCGGGGGGTGGGTGCCCCCATTTTATAGTACTAAAACGGGGGCACCCATCCCCCCCGGAGTGGGACCTCTATAAAATGGAAACACCCAGGGTCACAAAACAGGTGCACCTCTATAAAATAAAAAATTCATTTGAAAAAGCAAATATTTACAGCTACAAATTTACTGCAAAACCCTCGCCCTCCATCACTATAAAATGGGAGGCCCCAACGTACCCTGGAGCCTAGCTTTAAAATGAAGGAACCAGCCAACTTTTTACTATAGAATGGGAACCCCCAACCCCCTGTATATAGCTTCAATTTTACAACATCCAAAAATGAATGGTTTCTTGAGGGGTTGGGTGCTCTGATTTTATAGAGATTACATGCCCTTCCTGGTAGGATTTTCTAGGGGTTGGGGGTTTCCATTTTATAGTGCCGCAGCCTTCCCACATCCTCCCACCATCATCACCCCAAAGACACCACATTTTTCTTTAGCCCGGGACGTCCCAAAGCCAAGGGGTGCTGACACAAAGACCAAAACTTATTTTCTGGTAGTTTTCCATTGGTCCCATGCTGTCCCATGTCCCAAAAGCCAAGGGATGTCGACAAAAAGACTGGTATCGACGGAGCTGGGTATTTTGGGGCAGCTGGGTACTTTTTTGGGTGGGATGGAGATAATTTTCCATTTTATAGTGGTCCCATGCTGTCCCATGTCCCAAAAGCGAAGGGATGTCGACAAAAAGATTCCAAGCTTGGTATTTTGTGGTATCGACAAAAATTGGTATTTTGGGACAGTTGCGTATTTTGGGGCAAGCTGGAAAAAGTTCTCCATTTTATAGTGGTCCCATGTTGTCATGTCCCGAAGCCAAGGGATGTCGACAACAAGACTCCAAACTGGGTGTTTTGTGGTATCGACAGAGCTGGGTATTTTGGGGCCACTGGGTATTTTAGGGTAGGATGGAGAAAGTTTTCCATTTTATAGTGGTCCCATGCTGTCAGGGATGTCAAATTTGAAAACTCCAAGCTGTGTATTTTGGAGTGTCGACAGGGCTGGGTATTTTGGGGCCGCTGGGTTTTTTGGGGTAGGCTGGAGAAAGTTTTCTATTTTATAGCGGTCTCATGTCCAAAAGCCAAGGCCTGTCGACAAAAAGACTCCAAGCTGGGTATTTTGTTGTATCGACAGAGCTAGGTATTTTTAGGGCAGCTGGGTATTTTTTTTGGGTGGGATGGAGATAGTTTTCCATTTTATAGTGGTCCCATGCTGTCCTATGTCCCAAAAGCCAAGGGATGTCGACAAAAAGACTCCAAGCTGGGTATTTTGTTGTGTTGACAGAGCTGGGTATTTTTGGGGCAGCTGGGTATTTTAGGGTAGGATGGAGAAAGTTTTCCATTTTATAGTGGCCCCATGCTGTCCCATGTCCCAAAGCCAAAGGATTTCTCCAAGCTCGGCATTTAGGGGTATCGACAAAGCTGGGTATTTTGGGCCAGCTGGGTATTTTGGGGTAGGATGGAGAAAGCTGGCTTTGTTTGTTCACTCTATTCCATTCTCTTCCATTCTTACATTTCTCTGGTTTGGGAACACTCCCCCAGGTTCCCATTGCCATCCATGCTATAGCAGGAAACGGCACGCGAAGACTGAGCAATGCAACTACAACCCATGATCACTATAAAATGGAGGCTACCAACCCCCAAAAGGAATGATTTCCTGAAACCTCCTGACTCTATAGAATGGGAACACCCAACCCCCATACATGAGTGTCATGCCAAAAAGGGGATCGCTATAAAATGAAATTTAATATTATAACATCAAAATCCTCCTGCCCCCCTGGGATCACTATAAAATGAAAGTCCCACCCCCCCTGGAAAAAAAACATCGCTAAATTTTGTCTTAAACAAATGGTTTAGTGGGACCCCGGGGTCCCCCATTTTAGAGAGGGTTATTCCAAAGGGGATTGCGTACGTGTGTGCATGTGTGTGTGCGTGTGCGTGCACGTACGGCGTATGTACGTGCGTACATTCGCCCACGTTCGCCCCCACGTTCGCCCCCCCGTTCGCCCCCCCGTTCGCCCCCCCGTTCCCCCCGTTCGCACGTTCGCACCCCCGCCGTATCCTCGTTCATGCCGTACGCCCCCCCCACGTTCAAAGTCTAAATATCTTAAAAAATAGGCCGCAGCGACCTTTTGGGTTTAGCTAAGTAATAATGCTTTTGACTGATGAATTTGAAAAAATGAATGAGGTAAGTATGCTTTGACTGCTATGATTTTGAAAAATTGACTGAGGTAAGTATGCTTTGACTGCTATGATTTTGAAAAATTGAATGAGGTAAGTATGCTTTGACTGCTATGATTTTTAAAAATTGAATGAGGTAATTATGTTTTGATATTGTTGAGAAAAATGAAGCAATTAACAATATATAAACTGGCTTTTTGGACTGTTATTTTTTTTTATGAAAAAAATGATTTGTTATACTGCTATGATATTAGTTTAGAAAACTTCACTGAATCAACTTTTTTACATTTTTTTGGCCCCCCCCCTTATAATTGATATCTAATACATAACGTCGAGAAGTCTACGTTTTCCACGGGCTGGCCCCCCAATACCCCCTATGATTGTGCTGAAGCACGGAGAACTCAGGTAGCTGACGCTACCTTTCGTGACTTCACTATTTCACCCTTGATCTGAGCATCCGGCCTGGGCAGTCTCGATAAGCTGGCCATCGCCGATCAATTGCCTGCACCCGGATTTCAACGGCGCCGTCAACGGCGCCGTCAACCTCTTCATCAACGTTGTCATCAAAGCTTCCCAAATGTCATCAAATGTCGTTGAATCTCATCAAATGTCAAATTAGCATCAAGTGTGACCATTGCGACCTACAAATATACCGCAACCTCTGCCACCAGCACTGATCACAATCACTGGAACCATGCAACGCTGAGACCATTGGCAAATATCAGTGGCGGTGAGAAGTTGGGGCTCCATTCTTTCCGCTTGGAGTGTCCACTGGTTAGGAAGGACGTCGGCCAGGAGGCCACTGCTACTGGAGACACGAAGACCACTGGATTGCCAATCTTTAGAATCAATGAAAAGCAATGGAACAAAATGGATTCCACTACTGGTAGACTTTGGTAGACTCATTCCACACGTTCACTCCACATGTTTTCTTGCTTTGAAGACAATAGGAAAATCTCAACCCACCAACAAACTGGCTTCGAATCAAAGCAAAAACACAAGCGTCTGCTGAGCCATGCTGAGCCTTTCCATGTGGAGGATGCTCTCGCAATACCCGCAGGGACACTGCATTGTGCATACGCCACAGCCAGAGCACCAAGCGCTTGGCCTCCATAAGGTCCACAATGGGGCAGGAGGACTCCGTGTTACAACTAGTTACAATGTAGTTACAACCTTGCAATATCTTGAAATCCATTGGAATCCTGTACAAGATTAGATTTAGATGATTAGCTACTGTAGACAATTGAGAAGCCTAGGTGCCACTTGCAAACGGGATCCTTACAAGGTGGTGAGCTTCTTGTGTTGCGAAGATGCGGCCCAAAGTTGGTCACCCCGTGTTTCCCACCAAATAACATTCAGGCAGGGCCTGACATGTTTGAGACTGTTGGGCAAAACCACTCTCACATATGTTGGATATGTGTTCCACATTGTCACATCAAGTGAGTACTCAAGTGGACTACTGCACCAAAGCCGCAATCTTTGGACAATCCACCCTGAGAGGAGCCTGATCGTGCTCCGATGACAGGACTGCACAGCGGCCGAACTCACAGCCTATCGGTCGGATTTGTCGAAAACCACGGCAGAATTGACAGCTGACTTGGACCGAGTACCCCAAACAAACTCGAATTCATTCATTGGTCTATGCCCGTGACCCTCCTTAGAGCCTTAGATCATACCACTACAGTAGCACCCCCTCACCGACATCAGCACCATCCCCACCATCATAGGCACGAAGGAAATGATCCCGACAAAAGTCGCAGAAGAGGAAATGGTCCACAGCTTCGCGGAAGAAACTCATTGCCTTGCCAGTGCAAATCAAGGCTCAAGGATTCGTGGGACATAGAGTTCTGCGGATGTTGCTGTGACTCAAAAACGATGGCATCTTGATGCATCTTGTATCCTTGCCACTTTTCTGACTTTTCTTCTTTGGGCAGTTTGGGAAGCTCGGATCTCATGAGCCGAAATTGCAGGCCCAGACAGTTTGGTCTTTGAAATCTACAAGGGCAGTCCCAAAGTTGCTTTCTGTGCCCAAATCCTTCCCCCAATCACTATGAAATCGGAGCCTCTGCTGGTGTTGGAGGTGTGTTCCACTGCAACGCTGTGGAGACATGCTGCGGAACCAGTCGCCCATGCAAGGCTTCCTCAGATACAAAACGCTCAAAATGAGCTACACACTGTCAAAGTTGGAGGAAAAAAAGCCTTTCTAGTCTGGATCCCCCATGGTTGAAGATGTGCCTGCCATTCTGTAGCTATAAGCCTTCTGGCTGGTATGTGACTATAGAATGGCATGTTTTTCGCTAAATGGCATGTTTTTCGTTATATGGCAGTGAAGCAGGCGTGCGTGGAAAACTCGAAGGTTAGTTTATCCTGTATGTCATATCTGTATATCCATCAAAATCCATGTCTACAATTCTCATCAATTCTCTATGTAATGCCACGCATGTTCAGGCCAGGGTAGCCAGCAAACAAATGCAGCACTTGGGGAATTTCCAACCCGTGCACTACACAGTGAACGTGGTCGATTGAAGTCCTTACTTGCATGTAGCTGCATGTACCAGGTGGACAAGCATTTTGTAGAGTCTACTGGGTCCCTATCCAGAGAGCAAACATAAGTTCGAAAATATTGTGCACAGATGTTCCCTATAAAATCTCAGGCATAGCAACACGTTCCCCTACTAAAAATAGAAAAAGAAGCATCTTATAGCAAGCAGCACAAGCCCTCCCTTTCTACCGTCGAAATTTCAGGGATGTTTCTGCTTCTGCTTCGGTACCGCCATGTCATATCTCCTTCCTAAACTTTGGCCAGGTGTCTGCTGCCACTGAGCCTGCCATGACATGAAAGAGTTGCCAAACCTCAGAGTCGCAAATGCAAACCACCCGATCACTTCCAAAAAGTACACCCTCGTGAATGGCACTCTTGCCTGGAAGTTGATGGTTTTGGGCGACTTTCAGCAATTTTGCTGCGTTCAATCGTTGATCATTTGGGTCAAGAAGCAAATGAATGAACAGAAAGAGGTTCTTGATGTTCATGCTTGTCCTTTCCATGACAAGACTACAACACACCAAAACGGGGTCCGACCAGGTTTGGGCCCATGCCCAACTTTTGCAAGCCGCAAGAAGCAGCACCGCAGCCACCGCCAAGCCACTGCACAGGTCTCGTCCTTGCAGAAAATGTGCTTCCTCCTGGCAAAGTTTGGGCCCCTCCGGCCACAAGGACTACGTTGAGATGTGTTGAGTATCTGGGTGCTTATTGGAGAAGCCAGCTACCCACAAACGATTTGCCCTTTCAGCGAAGTGTCTCTTGGATTTCTGCAGCTCTCGGCACTTGAGAAACTCCCAACATCTCCCAAATAATCATCGACCAAAACATAGGGAAGAATCTTGAATCTCATTGGGGGCATCTATGAAGTGAAGGGCTAGACTGGAAATAACTGACACCTGAGATCTAGTATTGTCCCACAATAGGTTCCCACAGAAGTTTACATTGTGTAAAAATCATATATATATATATGCTTCTCCTGTTCTGAATTCTCCTATTCTGAATTCGTCTATCCATCCATTCCATCTCATTCCTCGACCCAAAAGCATCACCCTTTGGCCCAAATCCACCATCCCACGATAGGTCGCCTGGCAAAAAGTCCACTCCATCGTGAAACCTCTGCGCGCACGGACTCCACAGTCCTGTCATCGCCCTCAAGGCGATGGACCTGAGCACAGTTGGGCATGGAACACGCTCAAAGGTGATTGTCGTACTGTCGTACTGGTCAATATTGGCTACTATTGAGGAATAGTGACTTGAGGCCAAGGGGAAGGGGACGAAAGCTAGTTGGGCAAGGAGAGATGTGTGTTGAGAGAATATGTGGCGCGACCTTATAAATTTCAATGTTTGAATTAAAATTGAGAAAGAAGGTCGCGCCAAATCGGTTCTCCACCAAACTAAGCAAATAACCCAGTTTTAGAATCTGGTAACTTAGGTACATACATCCATCGAGCAAGAAATGCTTGGGGAATCTTAAGATGCTCACCTGCCATTCCTCTTCAAGACTGGGTCATGTTTTCATGCAAACGTCTTGAGGAAAAGGAGGGCAAGAATCCAAGTGGTTGTTTATGGCTGTTCTCTCATTACACTGCATTACATTACGGTACGTTACGTTGCACTACATCACATTACATTTCGTTGCATTACAGCACATTACATTACATTACATTACATTACATTACATTACAGCACGGGACATTACATTAGATTAAATTACATTACATTAGATATATTAGATTAGGTCAGATTAGAGTAGATTAGATTAGATTAGATTAGGTGAGATTGAATTAGAGTGCATTTGATTAGATTAGACTAGAGTATAGTAGATTAGATCATGGCATGTTTTAGACTGCTGTGCTTGGCTGAGTTTTATCATGTCTGATACCTTCACCAAATCCTCCTGCTTGCAGGTATCATCCATGACAATCATTTGTATCCAATCCAATGGCATTTATCTCAGTGCTTCCGGGTGCATGGCGTGTATTGGAGTGTTATATTTGGCTGAGTTCCAGTTTGTTTGGTACCTGCACCAACTCTTGCAGCGTGAAGGTATCAGGTATCACCCATGGCCCATGATCAATTTATGTGCCAAATCGTGTTCATATTGGTGCTTCTGGATGCATAGCATGTGTTCGACTGCTGTGTTTGTCAACATTACATTGCATTGCATTCCATTACATTCACAGCACTCACGGAGAATATCATCTTGTATATTTGTGTGGAGGGGGGCAGGGGAGGGGAGGGGGGTAAACGTTCGAAATGATTCAATGATTCATCATGTCCAACAACGGGCCCCAAAACCTGTTCGACATGAAAATCATGGAGGCTGTATCCAGTCTGCCCCCAATTTATTGCTAAAGTTAAGCAAATCCAACTTCAGCCAGCTAACAAGCTAGTTTTCGTGATATTGACTGATGTTGACTAATATAGTGATATTAACTATATAACCGATGTTGATTGTGATGTTGATTGATAATTCAAATTTACTGTCTATGCGATTCTGTGGATTCTGTACATTCTTCTTTGCGAGTTTCCTACTAGCTCACTCCCTCAGAACAATCCCTGAAACAGAAACTCACAATCTCAATCAAACCATGCCACCAGCTGCGCATAGAGATCACATTCCTGCAAACAGCTCTTAGCTACAAATGTCGCCATACGAAGCGCGGCAGCATGGGCTTCAGGGCTACCATTGTAACCTGGGTTTTGACTCACTGGGGAACTGTGGAGATACCCATTTGATCCAATTTGAAGCACCACAAGAAATCCAGGAATCAGGAAACCAGCAACCAGTACCCAGATAGATAACTTCCAGAAACCAGAAGGTTCGACCTTTTGCATCATCCCCACCAGCTTCTTTGTTCGCCTCTGAGCCCCAGGTGTGACCACTGCAACCCTCAAAGACGTTCAAAGACCAGGTACTGTTGAGCAAAGCTATGAGGCCCAAGCGAGCTTCCACAAATCGCTCGTCATCTGGGCGCCAGTCCCAGGACCATCCTGGGAATCATGGAGACCCCCGGTGCCCGCGGCTCATAGTTACTAGGAACGCTGCAAGTTTCAATGCCAAAGTATCAAAAGATTTGCTGTTTCAATTTGCCTCCTGCAGAATCTGCAAGGACCTAGGTGGAGCAAACGCCCGTCCTGGTCTCCCTGGCGGTGACCCTGGAGACAGAAATTCGGCAGCTTCGAAGTTCGCCCCTGCATCAGCGCTCCATTTGCAGCGTGCGCGGACATACCAAAGAACTTCATTAAACGAAGACAAAGATTGAACAAGTGCTGCTTTGACAGATGTTCAGGGAGTAAATGGTATTTCAAAATTCTCTCCATAGCTTTTTCTTGATAATTAAATTAATTAAGATTAGATAAGTAGATTGTAGGCTCGCCATCCTTTCTACCTATGCTCCTCTTGTTCTCACACAAGCCCTACCTTTCTGAGCTGCCATGGGATGCAGTGCAGGCAGCTGATGATCTTCCAGCCACTGTAGGATGTCCACGGCCGATTTGGCATGACCCTCCTTTAGAAAGCTGCAGCCGGTTGAGAAGATATTATATATATAACTATATAATATTATATAATTTTATAATTATCTTTATATATATATATAATTTACAGTAACATCGAGCGTCACAAAATATCATGGAATAGAACCCATAACAGTTTTGCCACTATTTTGCACACACCAATGGCCTTTTTGAGGATTGAGATTGTTGGGTCTTATACATCTGCCCGTCCTTGTCTGTATGTGACACATCATAGAGCTTCACAGCAGATCCATCCCTGCCGGCCTGGTTCGCCGCAAGTGGATCCAGCGGGGCTCGGAACGATCAACGAATCAACGCCATTCAACGCCTATGACTATGAGCTGCGCTGCGCCTTGAAGACCTGGATGCTGGGATATCTGTAGATTTGCATGGCATCACAAGCATTTCGATTCTCCTGTTCAGAAGGTTCAGAAAGCTGAAGAAAAAAACGAAAAGTACCCGAGCTATGCCGAGCTATGCCGAGCTATGCCGAGCTATGCCGAGCTATGCCGAGCTATGCCGAGCTATGCCGAGCTGTCACTTGGTCGAGTCTAGACGAAGAAAATTCCCTTGCAACTTTCCCCCACGCCTGACGCCTGGCTAAATCTGCCTGATGTGTAACACTGTCTAACAGTGTAAGTGAGGACAAGACTGAGATTAAACCGGCAAAGACTGTTGCAAGGACTGCTTCCTTTCCAGTGGACAAAATCTGTGGCGCTTGCAATTGTTGAGACTTTTTCAAGCGCCAAGTCACACAACATCTATCAAATAAACCTTTTCAATGGAGGCCGAGAAGGGCGCAAAAAAAGTGCGACCTTGTGTCAAAAGGCCATTCAAGAGATTTCAAAAGTAGAGTTTCCGATATAATTCTTCTTAAATGGAGACATGCTCTTTGCGTAAAATCCCACCAGCATAAGGCGGCTCAAGAACTCTCCTCCGCAGCACAATTGCATGCTGCCACCCTAAGTGATCGGCTTCCCTGGTAGGCCGCCGCAAGTTGCCGAAAGACTGGAGCGAAGTACCAGCAATGTGGACAGCTGGAGTGGTAGTACCTGGGTGTTCGGCAGGAAAATCGGATGAGTTATGATTAGTTGATGAAGCATGTACCAAATAATTACACACTACACTTTACCACAACTGCCAATAAAATGTGTTTTTTCAAAACCCTGTACACACGCACCGGAAGGAAAATTGGAGATATTCCCAATTGAAAGGCCCCTGAAGATATCAGAAGGTATACCCTTTTCGATTAGTCCAGGGCAATTCGGCGATCCTAGACTCTGAAGACACTGATACTTGAAGTGTAGGACTCAGTCTAAAGGCTGGACCTCCCGAGCGTCCTCAAACACCAATGAAGCTACGGCCATCATTGTCCAATTGGAAAGTGTAAATCGTCATTCTTGAAACACCATTGGGGATTGCAACGAATCCTTCATCTTTGGCAGGTACATCCTTCAGTTTAAGGGATCATTATGGTTTCAATGAAACACCCTGCATCATGCCAAGCAGCTCCACGAGCCAAGCTTGACCCATGCTTTGCCAGCTGGAGGAGGGCGAAAGATTGCAGCTGCTCGCTTTCAGCAAATGAACTGGCCCATCTGGAGCATACAAAGACTTTTGGCCTCACAAATGGTGGAAGTTTATCCAGAATGACGGTGATTTTTGTTGTAAGAGTCACTTGCTTGATTGCGTTGACAGTTCAAACTACCAAAGCTGAGCTCAGATATGTTCAGATAATAACAACAATTTGCCCCAAACCCTGATGCCTGCTGCACCAGGGATCCTTTCACTACTTATACTTATGTCCGAAATGGTTGGCAAAGATAGATATCTTGTTTCTAAGTCCAAGCTGATGGTGTGCGTGCAATTTCTTTCTTGCTTTCTGGCATATCCAAGTGTTGCAACGTTTCTGACTGGAGATGGTAAAGTGTCCTAGGTCCTAGTCATCTAAAGCATGTTGCAATTGCTTCCAATCTTGATTCAAAAACAATATGAAATTCCATACACAATTCCTGCAAGACTTTGAAATCAAATTGAAGTATCCTGTTTTTGCTCGGAGAAAATAGGCTGTGATCCTGCAGCCAATCCAATAATCTGATATCATTCGCACACTGACCTAGTGGGCCCTTGCCTGCATTGTCGTAGATCGTTGGCCTCGGGCTCCAATCAACCTCATCGAAGCCGGTTCTAAGATGTTTTAAAGCTAAGGACCAGCAAACCATCGGTTTCTTGATGTTTGAAGAAAATGTGTGGGGTGAATGTTATTCTAAATTCTATGGATTCAGTAGTTGTTTTTTGAAGTATCGCCACAAAGTCTCCAAGCCTGCATCATTCACAGGTCTTACTTCCTTCATCTTCCTTCTATAGTCATCCCATGAATCCTGTGAAACAGCATAGAAGGATGCATAAGTCATCAGAAAATCTGCTGGTAAAGAGATTCGACATATTCAACTCATCAACATACGAATATTTATCTGGGGCCGGCACGTCTTCCCCCCTGGCTATCAACACCAGGAGCAGCACTCGCGCACAGCACACGGCCATGGCGATGGGCCGCAGGCTGCGGCGAAAAAGGCCCGGTCCACGGAACCCGGACCATGCAAAGAAAGAACTCGGCAAGAATTCTGATAAAGTTGCAACCAAACCCCAGTTGCAAACGGCTAAGGTGTATACATTTCCTAGTCTGGAGGTTGTGAGATGATTTATCGAGGTTAAAGCGCACAGGTTGGGACACCAAGTTTGGGAATATTTTGCCGTTTTCCGGTTCGTGATGCCGTAAGGCAGCTGTCCTCAGATTCAGGCTGAGCCATTTTTGGAAATCTGTCCGGTGTTTTCAGCTCTTTTCAGACTTCAAACGCTCTGGAGATGCATTGCTGATACCACCTGCCTGGATCCGTGTAAAGTTATCGACGGCAATGTACCATCCTCACAACCACTGCAAGTCTCATGGTGCCGTTTCCTCCGCTATTTTCCTGGGAACAGGAGAGTCTACAGCTCCGCATGTACCCACAGCCCACCACCACCTCACGTGCTTCGAGGGCTGCGAGCTTGCTTTGAAGCGACCCCTGAGAAGAAAACCCCGTGCCCCATGTTTGTCTATCTTTTCTCACCAGAAACATTCCAGGAAAATTAATGTTAAAACTAAAACAGCAAAAGATCCGCAAAGAACAAAAGCGCAGATTGATAGTCTCGGCATATACAGTAGTCATCAGTTCCAATTTTGCGTTCCAGGCCTATCAGAATGATAAAATCAGTTCTGCCTCGTTGAGCGGCTTGAACTGCTTCAGCTCACGCCTGCATGCCCCATCAAGCCAAGGGGGGGAACCTATGTTCATTGATTTTCCTATTTAAAAATAGTTTTCAAACTGTGCTTGAAATCACGAGCAGCTGCTGAATTATCTGTCACCAAATATGTGCCTAGTTCGTGCCAGTTCCTCACGGAGTCTCGGTTCACTTGTGACCGCAGTGCCACTGTTGCAGGAGACTGCGGCTCTGTAGATGGGAGGTGGTGCAATAATTATGCACGGGTCTGGACCAGAACGGGCAACCAAGAATCACTTATGATATATGTTTATTTCCTGGGGGATGCTGGGATTCAATACTTGGGCACCTACACCCACCGCGGTCGAACCATGTGTTGACAATCTACTTCCCAGGTTTCGTTGAAAATATGGTGCCTGAATGACACAAGAATCACATGTTTGAAGCCTCCTCCGAAATTTTGCTAAGCATGGTGCAATTTTTGGGAGAGATATATGGGTTTGTCCGAAAATATAGTACCCCAAAGTTGACAGTAAATCGATTAATCGTCATTTCCCTCTTGAAATTGTCATTGTCTTTTGAGAATATTTGAGGTACATCATATCATATCGTATCATATCATAACACACCTAATCCATCCACCAAGCTGGTGCCTCCTCCTGAGCATCCAACCGCGCTTGCGAGTCCTTCCAGGTGGCATTGGTGCCCAAGCAGCAATTCATCTCAAACGGATGTGACAAAATCATGCAAATTCACCAGTTCACCAGGGATGATGATAAGATTGATAAAACCATGGGAATTCAAAAGTTTCCCCTAAAGCCCTAAATGTTCAAACCCAAAGATGCTCCTTTTGTAGAGAGAATCCAGCCCAAACCCCTCACAGTGTGGATCCAAAACGCATGGCGCACCCCTCCTGGATGTCAGGTTCCCGGCCTCGAGTGATGGATATTGACAGATGATGAGGGGCAAAGCAGTGCCGTAATGTACAAAAATGCAGCAATCACATCGTCGTCATCATCATCATCCTCCTCATCGTCGTCAACATCATTGTCATCATCATCATCATCATCATCATCATCATCATCATAATCATCATCATCACCTTCCTCCTCATCATCATCACCATCACAGTCATCATCCTCATCCTCATCGTCATCAGCATCATCATCATCATCATCGTCATCATCATCATCATCATCGTCATCATCATCATCATCAGCATAATCATCGTCACACTATCAGCATCATCACCATCACCATCACCATCATCATCATCATCAGCGTCATCGTCACCATCATCATCATCATCATCGTCATCATCATCATCATCATCCATATCAGTGCCATCATCATCAGCATCATTATCATCGTCATGGTCGTCGTCGTCCTCCTCATCACCATCATCATCAACATCATCATCATCGTCGTTGTCATCATCATCATCCTCATCGTCGTCATCAGCCTCATCACCATTCTCATAGTCGTCATCATCCTCATGATCCTCATCATCATCATCCTCATCCTCATGGTCGTCATCCCCATCCTCATGACAGTCATTATCATCATCATCATCATCATCATCATCATCATCATCATTAGTATCATCATCGTCGTCCTCATCATCCTAATCGTCATCATCATCATCATGGTCATCATCCTAGTCGTCATCATAATTGTCATCGTCGTCATTATCATCATCATTATCCTCCTCATCTTCGTCCTTATCGTTGTCATCATCCTCATCATCGT